CCGCCCCCCTGCCTAAGCGCATGAGTTCCTTAAGGGCGTCGTCTTTGCAGTCCGGTCTGGTCTTTTCGATGCGATATGACAGGGCATCTACTTCGGCCCATTGGAGGTAGCCACCAGGCTCTGTGGGATAATCAGCATGCAATAGAACGTTGAGGGTGGGGCCCAAGGATTAATATTGGGTGCATACTCAATAGCTGTAAAACGTTCCCGATGACCCTCTCAGCCTCCAGGTCCTTTATTACGAAGGAAAAGTTCCGAACGTGAATAATATCATAGACACCACGGAGGTGATCAGGCGTCTCGGATAGTATGTCATATGAGTGTAGAGTCAGGTTTGAAGGAAGGCATTCTTTTGGGGGGAGAGCGCTGAAAGATATATCAAGGCCATCCAGGGATACGGTGCTCGGAAGTCGACGAGATAAATCTGTCAACCAGATTCTGGTTGGAGCGTTAGCAATAAGCTAGTTATTTTGTCCTTCTGCATGTTTTACCACCTACCCAGTGCCAGTGCCAACGTCAGCAATTCTCAAGTTTGGGTTGTTTGTAGGGATAGAAGGGTGGATATGGTAGCCGAATAGTTCAGTCCACAGATAATGTTGGAGGTTGATGCTGCGATTTCAATTAGCAGGTGTACATCGAGTCTATTGAGCGAAACGTCCCGGTTGTCATCATGGAAATCACGAGTGAAAACGTATTCGGGTTTAGTCATGATGTACTTATCGGTGAAATCTGATATGCAAGCTTTTAGCTGTCTTAGTATGATTGTATATAGAAAGCATTGGGGCTAGACCAGTTGTTTAGGTGGGTATAGTTAAGTATTCAGGAAGAAGCCTTTCGTCGACGAAGAAGAGGCACTTAATAGAGTAAGCTGCATAGATGACACGTCATAGAAGATTTCCTGGTCGTATAATGAGGGCAGCCACTGATAAAGGACGACATGATGCAATATCGGCTTTGAGCACACGTCGCAGAAACTGGACAACCGTCTGAGTGTTATCAAGTCAAGTAGCTGGAAGACAAGGAACCAGAAAACTATGTCAGCCCACATCCAAGCAAGGGACATAAAGCTTAGCTTGCGGAAAATTATAGTGCTGCTCTAATTAGAAAGGCTAACAATGCACGGCGCACATTGCTAGGGCATGGGGTGAGACAACCGGGATGTGGTAAGCTTCGGGGATGAATCAGTGGCTGGGGTTTCCAGGTATGTGAATCCTGGTGGTGATTTATTGATACGACGTCGTAGACTTTCGTTAACCATGGTTGATGAGAAGAGAAAGAAACAGGGAAAAGAATAGTCCAGGGAAAATTAAGGACGAAGGATGAAGAAAGGAAGATAGATGCGAATCGGAACGAGTCGAGATTCAACAGTCGATGAATAAGTGACTACCTGCCCTAGGAGATGTTGTATACCTGAAGCATAATGGATCTGTAACAACCACCCTAGAAATGAATACAGGCATTGGTCTATCGTACAAACTTTTATGTGAAACCTTGCGATCTTTGCAGCTTTTCGTCTTTGAGTAAACAGATTTACTGGAGAAGTATCTTATCAAGATGATCGGAGCCGATCGAGTGGGCCTAGTTCTGCAATTAGCACATCTACTGGCTTCTGTAAGGTAGGCTATGATGTGGACTCCACATCCCTAATTGCATCAAGCAAGTCAGTTCATGTCTAGTAAGACATCATATGTGGCGGTCTTTCCGAGAAACTGTTTCAGGGGCAAAATTGTGGCGAATCGACGGTTTTAGACCTAATGGGCAACGCGTTGTCACAGCAGCGCCAATGTTTATACTGAAAAGTTGCTATCTGTTAGGAGTCGGGTAATGAATACGTTTATCATGTCTATAGTTATTGTACGTCGTGGTTGGTGTAGCTAAAGAATTTGTTTTGGAGGCTACATTTGTGGACGATTGCTTGACAACGTCCGCTTTGATAGTCATTGTCTCCTCTTCTTTCACTGCCGGAAGAACGATCAGACTTAGTCGCTATTCCTCTTCATGACAGACTTGCGGTGAGTAGGGCCGTTCAGATCCTACCAGTCAACATGACTGATGCAAGCCATGACCACCCAGCCTCACTTAGTTTCAGACTAACGATAACGAGGCTCGGGTGAAGGCAAAGCATGGCCGTAAGAGCTAATCCAGACGAGTGACAAATATTGACGCAGGAGGCTTCCATTTTTTATGATGGTGTAAGTTAGCGGCAACGGCCTTAATATACCGACCCCATTGCTCTATGACGTGCAGAGTCCTTAGTGGCCCACGTGAGTAGATCAAGAAATTCCATGTAGCAAACTCTCGCGAATAAACTGCTGGATCATACCACGTGTGAAGATTTGACCCTGGAGTTCGAAAGCCGGAATTGGGGATCGACAACAACGTCTCGGGAAGGCGATAGAACAGCCTCGGCACGGCAGCAAGTGGATCCGTGGCGCCATAAAAGCCCTTCTCGAATTCTTCTCTTCTCGGCCCGTTGTCGGCACCGATTCGAATAGAGTCATGAAAAACCTTATCTCGAACCAAAAGCTACCATTTACTTGGTCAACGGTATCTTGGCACTCAGATTGAACCAAAGAGATATGATATAGATAACATATAATTGCAAATAACCCTGCGAGGCGTGAGTGAAAAGTCCCTGCGGTCTGGTGTGCGACATGCGGACTTCGTTCGGAAAATCTGCGGTAGGGAGGTGGATCTGGTGGACCAAACTTGCCGTTACGTTCCTTGAATTGCACTCCACAGAAGCCGACGTGAAGTTTTCTTCACTTGTTCCCTGGGTTTCCACAGGATAACGTTACTCAAATGGCAGCAACGCCGTGAGCCGTTTCGGTTTGCTCGGACCAGTCCCTATTAATAATGTATGATCAGGATCGTAGAGACGGGGCGTTTATAAAGACTGGGTAGGCCAATTTTTCGTTAGGATCCATCCATCTCTCTTCCTCCTAGATACCCCTCACATTATTCAAAATCTCTCCAACCATGAGCGTTACGTACGACGTGTTCCGTGGCTCTGCCGAGGGCCGCATTGTCGCTGACAAGGCTTCGTCCACCCTTGGACACAATGAGGTCTTCATTGAGACCACCCACTCTGGTCTTTGCGGCACAGATGAGCACTACCTCAAGACCAACCAGGTGCTCGGTCATGAGGGTATTGGAATTGTCAAGTCTCTTGGCCCCGGTGTTACCTCCGTGAAGGTTGGAGACCGTGTTGGATTCGGATACACCCACAGCATCTGCACTTCCTGTGACAACTGCGCTACTGGTACTTCCCCTACGTGTATGACACATGAATCATTATGTAGGCTAACCCATTCGAACTAGGCTGGGATCAGTACTGCGAGAACCAGAAGCAGTACGGTTTCCACGACTTCGACAACGGAACCTTCAGCTACGGTGCTGTCTGGGACGCCAACTGCGTCTACCCCATTCCCGATGGCTACGACTCCGCATATGCTGCTCCTCTCATGTGCGCTGGTGCTACTGTCTGGACTGTCTTGAGCGAGTATGGCATTCGTTCGACTGACCGCGTCGCCGTTATGGGCATTGGTGGTCTTGGTCACGTTGCCATCAAGCTGGCTGCTGCCATGGGTTGCCACGTCGTTGTCCTTTCCAGCTCTGAGTCCAAGCGCCAGGAAGCTATGGACTTTGGTGCTTCTGAGTTCCACGTTTTCAAGTCTGGTGATGCTGTTCCTGAGGGCTTCAAGCCCGTCAAGCACCTCTTGCTTTGCGGCAATGCCGGTGTGGATTACCCTTCGTACGTTGGCCTCCTGCCCCCCTTATCGCTTTCTCCTCTGCGTAGTAGCTTCGTTCGTGCATATAGCTAACGTGAAAACAGTCTCATTCCCCTGATGGCCACCCACGGTAGCATCTACCCTCTGACTGTGGCTTTCGAGCCTGCTAAGGTGCCCATGCTCGGCCTCGTATGGAGGGGTGTCCGCATCCAGGGTTCCCTGGTTGCTTCCCGCCAGAGCATCCGCAGCCTTCTCGAGTTCGCTGCCAGGAAGAAGATCTACCCCACCATCATGACCTTCCCCTTGAACAAGGAGGGTATTGAGGAGGCCATGCAGACCCTGCGCGAGGGCAAGATGAGATACCGTGGTGTGCTGGTTCGCCAGTAGACACGATCACGATCTCTTTTCCTTTTTTATTGTTGCTACCTGTAGTATTAGTCACGATGATGATAATGTTGAGATAGAATAAATAGATAGAATTATAATCGTATGATGATGATGCCCGATTAGGAATGCCCGCTAGACTTGCCGGAAATAGACATCCGGTTCCTCCCACTTGAGTGCCTCAGGTTAGCACCAGCTTCGGACAATCACCGAGCCGAAAGACAAACAGTGCAAATGTTTTTATTACGTTTCATCGCCTAGCAGTCACATGACTGGCCATCGATAGCACCAGCACTGCCCTAGATTATATATATAGAAACTAGTGACCCTTGCATCCATCAGTGAATGTCTTTAATGATCTAAATCTAGAACGATGTATGAAAGTTTACTTGTATCTCCATTTGTTGCGCCGCTCAGTAATGACATGTGTAAATAGCGGTTGTGGGGCAAGGTATTGTCATTCTTGTTTCGAATGGGGAAAATTGTCAGTGTTCATACTAATTGATACCCCCATCTTGATTTGAATTGCAGTACACTTAGACGGATAAGAGGAAGAAGGCAATCCAAGGCATTGCAATTTGTAACCTCGGCGAAAGCACCATCTCTGATGGCAAAATGCAGCTGATGATGGCCTGTCTGTTTCAAATCATTAACGTACCCAAAATACTTCTTTTACTTCAATTGCCGCATATAGAGAGACTCAACTAATTAAAGTATTGGAATTCTCCGCAGTTGTGGCTCCGTGCGTGGAATTACCCGACCTTTGAACGGCCAACAAGCCATGGTAAGGATAGGTAAGCACTAAAGTTCCTAAGCTACTACTAGTTTACTACTAAGCGTAGCATTGAATGGGGTATCGATAGAGTCGAACTAACAGCTCACAGCCTTGCCTTACCATTCTTTTCTCGTCTTCCTAAACTCTGCCCCACTCTTATGGGCGTGAGTATAAGTATCTCCCCAAGCATTCTCAGCCCCTCTGCTTTTTCGAATCCTACCTCTTTCCATCCCTAAACCACTACATAGTACACAACAGCAATGTCTGCCTCCAAGCCCGTGATCCTCCTCATCTCAGGAGGCTGGCACGTTCCCACCTCATACGACAAGCTCACCAACCTTCTCAAGTCATCCGGGCACGAAGTCCACGTCCCCGAGCTACCCTCAATGAACGGCGCGCGGCCCCCAACAGCCGATCTAGAAACCGACACAACTGCTTTTCGCGAATACGCATTGAACCTCGCCAACGCTGGCAAAAATGTCATTGTGATCTCCCATTCCTACGGCGGCCAAGTAGCTACCAATAGTCTTTCGGACCTAGCAATCTCAAACCGCAGCAAACAAGGTCTGACTGGTGGAGTACTTCACATTGTCTCACTGTCTTCCTTCACCGTTACTGAAGGACGAAGCATGTTTGACATCGTGGATCAGTTCGGTCACGCGTCGTTGATGCCCGTGGCATTCGATTTCGCGGAGGATGGAACCTGCGTGGACCGCGACCCCAAAGGTCTGCTTGTTACGCCTGGTCCGGATGAGGCTGAGTCTGAGGTAGAATGGTATCTGGGGACCCTCCAGAGGTGGAATGGCAAGTGCATGTACCAGCCTATTACCGCCGAGCGGGCTGCTTGGAGGGATATTCCTGTGACGTGTGTCTTGTCGACTAGGGATATGACTGTTCCTGTTGACTACCAGAGGTGGATGGTTGATATGATGAAGAAGGAGGGGGCAGAGGTTGAGGCTTTTGAGCTGGATGCGGGTCACTCGGTTGATTTCAGTAAGGCCAATGAGGTGTCTGAGATTGTGAATAATGTGGTAGCCCGCTATGAGGGGAAGTAATGCGATTGCAATTTAGATAGCTACGAGGCTCACTCGGCTTATTTTAAAACTCAGAAGGGCCTTAAGAAACCTGCCTTGTGTGCGGCTGAATTTCAGAGAACCACGTTAGGCACTGACCCTGGACATTCTCCTTACCGGTCCTGGCATATCACGGTCCCTTCGAAATCCCCATAACTCCCGCGAATAGTTACGTTCAAACCAGTCTTTATCCTCATAGGCCGGTTCGGTTTCGTGAGTTGAGCCGGCCTGAATCGAATTGCCCAATAACATATGATCAGGTGGAGCACGCCATCAGAATCTAGTCTATCATATTGGCACATCCCCCACGCACCAGTCAATGTGGCCCAAACCAGCCAGCCGCAACTCAAGAGCTAACGCGCCGACCCTTGCCGCCTGTAATTGTGCTCATCGCCTCGCAGCACTAGGCTACAATTGCCCCACGCGGCGCAGGAGGTGTGCATTACTACCAGCCTGAACTTGCAATTCTACCAATTAAACCATCTGAATCAAATCTCTCAATCCAGTATTTTGTTAGTTAATAGTTTCGGATTGTCAGGGAGAAGTGCTTGTCTAAGCTGACTTGATCTTTAATGTTTCACTTAGTTTCCTCGGAATATCCGACCTTTCACTATTAATGGAGTCGCCGTAAACACCTCTCTATCCCATTTGCTAGTATTTTGACAGTTTGTAAATCATTGAATGATAATCTCTAATTACTCCAGCATCCAAGCTTTCATTTTAAATTTTATGACTTATGCAATAGCCCGAACCCATATCTATCTCTCCGCTTAACCCGTCAAGCACGTCTCTGCCCCCGCCCCTTAGTGAACCACACCACCACATAAACCAACATAAAGTTCGTACAGCAAAACCCCACAAAAACCGCCCAATTCCACCAGCGCTGCCCATACGAATAATCCAACGTTCCCAGACACTCATCACCCACCGAATACGGACAATATGAGCAATCTGCCGTCGCGTTCAGATTAACGATGTAGCCGGGGTTATTGCCCAAGAAGGCCGCCGTATACTGGCCACAAGTACTGCCTGGCGGGGCATCAAACACAACAAGATCACTCGAGGAACACTCAACTGCCACACCGTGAAGGACCGAACCGAGCGGAGCGCCGAAGAAGTAGCGCATGGGATCGATCCAAAATAGCCAGGGGCGGTAGAAATCGTTCAGGTATGCATGGGGAGTCAAGTCTCCAGAAACAATGATCAGGATGGCCCAGAAGAGGGAATTAGCGTACCCGCTAGAGTTGCGGATGGGAAGAGCGCAGCTAGGAGGTGGGAGTACCCCGTTCCAAAGATACCGAGGAGGATCCACATGAAGTAGTAGAGTCCGGCAATGGGGGTGTCATTTGGATAGCCAACGGTCCAGTAGGCGGTTAGGTAGACCAATGTATAGGCGAGCAGCCACTAGCGATGGTGCAGTTAGCGAGCGTTTTACCTTTTCCGAGTGTAATCTCAAGAAAAGGATTCGAACCTACTTGAGACGAGGAAAACTGCCTGCTAAGTTCTCTTCCAGATTAACCTCGCACGTGGAAAGGAATAGAGCATGCTTAGCATATTTCATGATATCGAGGCTTAGTGTCTTTCCGGTAATTGGCCCGTGATGCTCCAATATATCAAAGCACTGAATTCGGCGTTTCACTGACGTGAAGATATTCAAGGCATGTTCGACAGTGACGGATGTATTTAGAACATCATAAAGCAGGGTCCCGCATGCTGACAATTTAGTTAGCCACCGTTGCATCGTTTCGGATGCATTTAGCCCTCTCCATGATGGCGCTGCTGGCAATATTGATGATTTCCTTGGCAGACAGAAATGAAAAATAAATTGAGGCCTGAAGTCTTTCGACTCCATGTGGATTGGATGCGCGGTTCTGTTCAGATCCAAGTAGGCTGCAATATACCATGGCGGGCCTACCAGTCATCATCATAATTAAGTGGAACGCGAGCCCAAGATGTGTGCACTGGATCTCCCGCCATACCGAGCTCGCTCTTGGGACGATTTAGACTGGCAAATTATAGATAAGATGGTAAGGAGCGCTCAATCTGGTGCAACGTGGCATCACACTCCTGATCGTGTTGTTTAGCTTGCGATGGTCGTATATTGTGTGCAAGTTGGATGAAGAGAATATACCGCTGGAGACCTTTTCGGTCAGTTGCCCAATTTGTGCCATTGCCCTCAAGTATGCGCATTCCGTCAGGGGACCGTCCGAGCTTTTTATGGGCTCGCCGCACGGTGATTCTACTTTGAGCCGGACGGTCTTCTAGGTCCTACTCCACTGGATCCTGTACCGGCCTTTGTTTTTTTACTTTTACATTTATTTCTATTTCTTTCTTATTGAAAGATGCACTTGTCCAGCAGTTCGAGTTGCTTATAAATCAATTTTTCGGGGTCTCCATCTACCATGAAAGTCTGTCGTGAACGTTAACGAACTCAAAGACGTAATACACCAGATTTAAAATATCAACGAAGGATAATAGTCTCTAACTACTTCTTCTCAAATGATAATTTCTCTGAAGACTTAGTAATATAATGTCTATCGAAGTGGCGTTTACGGCCCATATTAGTACCCATTATGAATGGATGCCGAGCGGTGGCGATCCCTGGCTTGAACCCGAAAAATTGGAGACCCCAACAATCTCCAAACCCAGGAGAACTTTCGGCTTCTAGCAATTTACGATACTCATCTTCCCGGGGCACTCCCTTCCAATTACTTAATTGATAATGCCACTGATCGTCGCACATGAGCCAAGCAATGTCCTACCGCTCATTGAGTCCTGCCTCAGCTGCCCGTCGCGAGGAGCTGACATGCAAAATATGTTCTCGCACCTTCAACCGCCATGAGCATTTACAGCGACACACCCGCACTCGTAGGGTTTCAATGTAACTGAGACCATGATGTATCTACTGCTGACGAAGCGACTATCCAGATACAAAAGACAAACCGTACATTTGCTCATGTGGTCGTTCATTTTCTAGGAAAGACTTGTTAACCCGTCATGAACGCCTGAGCCATGGTCTTGATGGGAGACAAGGAGCCGTTCGAGGTGCATATCCATGTCCTTCTGGTCTATGAGTAGACATTCTAAGCCACATCATAACAGAAAATGTATCTCCTCGACGGAGACAACCAACGGGCATCACAGATGTTTCGTTAACCCTGTATCACCAAAGGAATCAGGGAGACTTCATGCCTCGTAGCATCTCGAATGAGTTTCCCGAATCGAGCATGTTTCCGCAAATGGATGCCAGTCCGCTAGATGATATACCGGATCGCTTCATATATCCGTCCGCGAACAATTTGCCTGCGACCTTCGATGACCCGATCTCCGAGTTCACCAGGTTCTTGACTCATGGTGATGGGAATCATGACCCGGAAGAAATGCTGGTCGACCCAAGTCTTGCAATGCATGAACCCACCATGCCCGATAATGGACTGCTTCAAAACTCTACGCCAGACAGTATCGACATATCCTCGCGCGTACCAGACGACCCTTCCGGTGATGGTTAGATCGTTTGCCCGTTCTCCAACCACTTCTACTTCTGTAACTAACCTCCGCGACAGATGATTTCCACGAGCTGAAACCCCTCAGCTGCCCGTGGCTTTTAACCAACAACCAATATCTACAGATTAGCAGTTCCATTTCACCGTTTCAGGAAGTGATCCCGAATCAATTTAGGATGCCTTCCAAGATGGCCCTGGCACGCTATCTACTAGGTTACGTTGAAGGGTTCAGTGATCACCACCCCTTCATCCACGTACCTACACTAAATTTAACATCCTTTGTTGATACCCCAGAGCTCATTTTGGCACTTCTAGCTATCGGCGCTCAATATCGATATGAATCAAGAACTGCTAGGTCATTATACCGAGCAAGCCGGTCTATCGTTCTAGAACGTCTTCGCAAAGTGGAAGGTCTTGCCGACACTGCTTCCGTCCATCTTTACCAGGGCAACTTACATCCTGCACCAGCCCATGGAGAACATCACTTAGATCAAACTCAAGCTCTGCTCTTATTAGCTATCTACTGCTTCTGGCACAGTAGCTCTGACATGCTGCAAGAATGGTACCAATATCTCAGCCTAATTGCGGCCTCCCTCCGCCGACTCGGTCTATCTGAAGGGAAACACAACGACAAGATCAGTTGGGCTCAATGGATTAAACAGGAAACGAAGCGACGTACACAATTTTTTGGTTGGTATTTGCTGAACTTTCAGGCCATCATCTACGATAATCCCCCCTTACTTCTTACGCGCGAACTGAACCTTCAGCTGCCGTCATCATGCCAGGAATGGGTCGCTCGAACGGAAACCGAATGGGAAAGAACCAGGAGTCATACGCTGTCCCGTGTTATGCTGAAGGAGGCACACGCGGTCCATCTTGCAGAGTCCAGTGATATATCTGCAAATGTGGAGTCATCCCCGATGGGGAATTATATACTTATACACGCAGTGATTCAACGTATCTACATGATGCATCAAGTCTCTCTGGACCCTCAGATACAAAGGCTCTCCGCGCGAGACGTTCAAGGACTAGAGACCGCGCTGAACCGCTGGCGACACACGTGGTGTCATTCCCCTGAATCCAAACTGGACCTGCATGATCCATACGGTTCGCTATCCTTCTCGGCCACCGCATTACTGGGCGTAGCGCATGTTCGCCTGCATTACAATCTTGGGCAGTGGCGGGACTTGCAGAGCGGAGATCCGGCGACCGTTGCCGCAACTTTACATGAAGCGCCGTTGCCCCAACGCGGCTCTCACCTCGTACACGCTCTGTTGCATTCCGTCCATGCACTTAATATTCCCGTGCAGGTCGGAATATCATACCTCTCGCGGTGTAAATCTTTTGGATGGAGCGTGGACCATGCGGTGTGCGACCTGGAATGCGCCATCTTTTTGAGTAAGTGGCTGCAGATGGTCGCCCAGTCCCACGTCGAGCAGCCGCTCTCTGGTATGTCGGACAGATGTTTGCGCTCTCCGCTGCTCGTCATTTGGCTGACTTGACTTATAGCGCTCGAGACACGCCTCATTCGATGGATAATACGCGTAGTGCGCGAAGCGCTCGTATCCCAAGACGAGACGATCAGTCTCAGTTATGACATTGATGGGTATCGGCCAGAGACTATGAGGAGAACAGCTACTTTCCTCAGTTTTGCAGTGGTCAAAGTCTGGGCGCAGATGTTCAAAGTTTGCAATAGTCCATGGCCAATGGTACTGCTCATTGGGAAAAGTCTGGATCGGTATGCATCATTGATGGAGGGGCCCCTTTCGGTGGATGTGGAGAGCTCAGAGCTCGGGTCTAATCCATGATCTCGCGCGCCAATTTGCTTCGTTTTCTAATGGAAGGTCCACACCAGACAAGAATCCAGGGAACAAGAGTAAGGGCCAGTCCAAGGCCTCCGAGTAAACTGGCCGCGGCACCAAAACCCAGATTGTCGAATAATTGCCGGGAGACCAATGGGAAAATCCCGCCCAACATGTTTCGACAGAAGCTCTGTGCAGCAAGCGCGGAACTGGCGTAGCGATGATATGTATCTGCCAGATAGTTGAACACCGACAAATATACCGAAAATATTCCGACAGTAGAGATCCCCACCGCCACTGTAGGGACCATCCAATGTACCTGGTACTGCGCCGACCAGCCGAATAGAAACAAGCCCAAAGGTAGGAGTAAGCTCTCAACGCAAGTAAAATATAGCCTATGTTCTGGTACGGAATTCCAGGGCTTGTGGCGGTCCACCTTTCCTTTATTCCAATAACGCGCGATTAATGACTCCTGCACGATACATACGCTCAGAGCCAGCGTTGTGCCGATGCACGAAGACGCGAAGACGGCATTGGCGGTAGAGAGTGAGAGCATGTAGGCGGACTGGAAGACCAATGGGATGGCAGAGAGGTTAATGTATAGGACAGACCAACTGAAAGCCGCCCAGAGAGAGAAGAAGAAGACAACCGGCTCAGTGAACAGCATTGTGAAGGGGCGCATCAGTGATGTTTGGAGGAGTTGTAGGATACCGGCTCGTTCCTCATCCGCAGGCACCTTCCAACGCACGTGATTCATGTTTGTGTCCGCTGGCGCTTTTTCTCTGTCGTCCCCCTCGGCTTGTCTCGTTGCGGCGGTGGCCTTTTCCATGGCTTCATGCCACTGATTCAACCGGCGAGCTTTTTCACGCAGAATGACGGGTCCTCGTGTTTCGCGGAAGAAAACTAGGACAGCAGCCGTAATCAGACCAGCGATTATGATCTGAATATAGAATATCCAGCGCCAGGTGGTATATTGGCTGATAAACCCGCAGACCAAGGGGCCGAGGCCGGTTCCGAAGAGCGCGGCCCAAGAGAAAAGAGCCATTGGAGCGTTACGATTCTGAGCATGGTATATGTCCGCGATGATGCCACCAACCATGGTTGAGAAGGTCGAGCCTCCAATTCCGCAGAAGAATCGAGCCACTAGCATTCTGTACGACATCCCTCCTTGGTGGAGGCTGAGCATTAGCATATTGTACGTCGTAGGCGGCGAGACGCCTAGAAATGTCAAGAATCATATCAATCATGCACCTACCCAGAATAAAGTCGAGTAACTGCACAACATACTTGGCATATCGTGAATAGGATAGCAGTGGCAATGAAGACAAGCTTTCGGCCATAGATCTCTGAGAAAGGGGCGAGAAACATGGGGCCGATCGCGAAGCCACTGGTAAAGGTCGTGATCCCAACTAAGACCGGAATTCGACTGACATGCCATTCAGTCTCCATTTGAGCTGCCCCAGGACTATAGCAGCTCGCTGCAAAGGAGGCAAATAGTGTTGCTAGGCATGAGACTATTGTCATCAAGCCTTTGTACTGTGGTGTCCATTCGTAGGGAGATCCAAGGGATTTCAAATTCGGGGGAGGGATAGGATGCGGCCCAGAGAGGAACGAGAGATCTGTCTTGAAATCTAAATTGTGATAGCGTGGCTGCCGTTCGTCTGCTATCAACGTTGGCCGAGACTGTTCCTCCTCCTTACTGCTGGTGATGGACATCTTGCCCTGTTCGTTTGATGAACCAAGGAATGGCGCGCAAAGGTCTGGCAAGGTAGGATAAATTGATACAGCACATATCTTCACTATTCTAGACTTGCAAGGGGTGTGTAGACCAATATATTCGTATTGCGGATGAACGGACGGCTGCAGATCTGCGGACGAATGCGGTGTTGTTGCGGCATTGATGCGGCCCGCAGAGCCCGCAGCGAAGTGCGTGGAGCACGACGCATACCAACTGCAAAATCCATACTGGATTGGGGTCTCCAAGCACTGGTGCATGTGACATGCCGGCCTACGTCAATCGAGGCGCTGCAAACTCCGAATCCCCCGGGGAGGCAGTGATCTGCCGGCACAGAAGATGTTTCACCTCCCTCGGCCATCATCACCCAGCATGGAGCCGCGGTCAAAGAAAGCCTGCATATCTTGCAGAGATCGCAAGCGCAAATGTGACGGCGAACTTCCTTGCTCGTATTGTATCCGCACGCATCACGAATGCTTCTATCAACAGACACGTCGCACGAGGTCAACTCCCCGAAAGCGCTCGTCGGAAGACCCCAGCAGCCGTGAGGGTCAGAGCTCCTCAACGGATGAACGAACCCAGCTTCAACTTTTAGAGGCCAACTCACCCGCAGTCTCGTGCAAAGGTTGACGAATAGAGGCGAAACTCCCAGTATAGCTTTGCCGGTGCACTGCTACGCATATAACTTAGGATTCGACGCCGATGTCAATTTTCTTCCTAATGTAATAGGCCTGACAGAGCTTGTGACGAAAAGGGAGATGGCTCGCCTTGCCAACGTATACTTTGCTCAAATCAGCCCAGTATACGACTTCATCGACCGTATTGCAGTGGAGCAGGCTATCATAACTCGCTGGAATGATCCAGTGCCATGGAATGGGGTTGACTCCCTTCTACTTGGTATTGCAGCGCTGGGATGTGTGTTCGACAAGGGCAGCCACATAAAAGGCTCAGATCTCGAGCGGCAACTTGTTTATAGTGCACGCATGACTCTAGAATATTCAAGCCAGCTCGCGCAGCCTCATGTGAACCATGTAGTTGGATGGCTACTCCGCGTCATCTATCTGCGAATTAACAGTACACCACATGCCACATGGATGGCTAGCTGTACACTGATGCACATGATTGAAACCAGCAAGCTTCACTTCGAAAACGACACTGAGTCCATACTTTTCCAGCACTCTTCTGATTATTGTCCTCCTGAAGAGCGCCGCAAAATCTACCATGTCGCTCGGTTGTTCAACATTTGGGTTTCGTTAGACTTTGGTAAATCGCAAATAGACTTACGAGGAGCATCGACCCAGCCGCCACAAACAAGCTGGACTACCGAGCAACGAGAGTTATATCTTGTCTCCGTACTGCTCACTTCCGCCGAACATTATTATAATCTGGGTGAGCTAGAGAGCGCACTACGTAACGTATGTGAGCTACAACCATCTCCTCCCATGCTTCAACTACTCCAGTGTAATATTGCACTCTGCATCTTCCGTCGCGCAATTTCACTAGAGAAATCACTTCCCGCGTGGGCGCAGGATTTGATCTTGGATTTGATGCGTACCAGCACCGGTATTGTTGAAGGGCTAGTCGCACAGTCCTCGCCATGGTGGCATGTTCTGAACATCCCCTTTCAGATTGTGTGCGTGTTACTTTTGATAGATCGGCCACGAGCTCTGGAGACTCTGGATGATGCTCTGCGAACTCTTCACAAAGTGGCAACGCACTACGATACACAGATGGCGAAGGAGGCATATGATGTGGCGTTATCTCTCGTCCAGCAGCATCGAGACCAACGGTCAGAGGCATTATCCATTCTAGACAGAGTATTAGAGAGGCATAGCAATCAGTGGATTTCCTAGACGTTGCTGTTTTTCTTCGGGTGGGGAAAATTGACTGCTGCTCGGGGTCTCCAATGAATAATATTACTATATCCACGAGATGAATTTATATGGCAAAATGGTCCCATTCGGAGTCTCCAACTTTTCATTAAGCCTCTCTACATTTTGCTCTCTGTATTTGTAAATTCTTATCATTCCCCCGTATCACTGGCAATTCAGCAAGCCGCGGTTGCATTCTTTAGCATTCTCTTCACAATGACAGTCACTGACCTTTTCCGACCACTGACCTTTCGCCGCGGTCCATCCCTTAAGAATCGAATCCTCCTTGCGCCTCTCACCAACTGGCAGAGCAACGAAAGTGATGGCAGTGTTACCGAAGCGGATACGCATTGGCTGACGCGCTGCGCTGCCGGCGGCTTCTCCATGGTCATGACATGTGCCGCCAATGTGCATGTAGACGGAAAAGCTTTTCCGGGACAGATGGGCATCTACAGCGATGAACATTTGCCGGGCCTGCGCCGCATAGCTGACATCATCCGCAAGCATGGGGGAGTCTCCTCCGTGCAGATCCATCACGGAGGTGCGCGCATTTCGCCAACACTTATCGGTGGTCGGACACCAGTGGGACCTTCCGCTATCCTTCCGGGCGCCGTACGAGGGCTCTCCCTTGCTGAAGTAGAGCAGGCGCGAGACGATTTTATCGCGGCTGCAGTACGTGCCCAACGGGCCGGATTTGACGGAGTGGAGGTGCATGGGGCATTTGGATGGCTTATCATGCAGTTCCTGTCGCCCATCTTCAACCGGCGCACTGATCACTACGGTGGTAGTCTTGAAAACAGGGCGCGATTCCTCTTTGAGATCATTGATGGCATTCGACGCACGTGTCGACCGGACTTTCAAATTGGCCTCCGCATTTCCATGGAGCGATACGGTGTTCCACTGATAGAGATGCGCGAGGTAGCGGCACGGGCATTGCGCGAGGCGCGCATCGACTATCTCGATCTTGCTGTATGGGACTACCGCAAAATGGCCACAGAGGAGCCCTTTTTGGGTCAGACTATGTTGAGTGTCTTTACAGACCTTCCGCGCCCAGAGGGTGTGCGTGTGGGTGCGTCTGGCCATGTTATGACGGCTCGGCAGGCTGCTGAGGTTCTTGATGCTGGGTGTGATTTTGTCATGATCGGCAAGCTGCCATTCTTGACCCGGATTTGCCGAAGAATGTGGAGGAGAATGAGGAATATGTGGCCCCTAAGCTTCCGGTGACGGCGGAGTACCTCAAGAGCTCTGGATTGAGTGAGCGGTTTGTTGATTACATGAGGACGTGGGAGGGATTTGTTTTGGATGCCTAGAGACATTGTTCTGACTATATCCCCTTCTCTCACTTATACCTGTCCTGACAGATTCCCATCATGTCAATATATCTAGATTTATAAATCTGGTCTTTCGAAATGTTCAAAGTATTGAAAGTAGGCGGCCGTATAGCAGTCAAATAACACTCTGAAGTGCCTATAATAGAGTTTTTATGTTTTCTGATCTTCCTTCCAATTTTTTTTCTGTCTATTTTGCCCCCTACTGAAGAGATAAGAGAGTTTCATGTGTGCCCTAAGCTTCCGTCAAACTTGGGAATTTCCTGTCAAAAGAGTACATGCTTCTTTTGGTCACTGAGTAACTAAGGGTAGATCTTCCACCATCTTTGCTGCCAATACTACATCAATGTATAAAACTTCTCGTAGTTCCCATGCTCTGACAATTAATCCTCTCTTTTGTATCTAGCACTATATTCCTGGGATGACATTCATAGCCAACCCTATTCTTCAGGACGAACCTGCTTTTTCTCCCGCTTATCAACGCCCAACCACAACAGATCAGGACGACTATAATGACCGTGGACATCTAGCATGGCCTTGACCTTTTTGATCTCATCAAAGTCCAAGTCAGCAATGACGAGACCTTCTTCCTCCTCTCCCAGATCCTGAGTCAACTTATGACCATCAGGACCAATGATGCATGCACAACCACCACCTCCAATGTGGTATAACTTGCCATCACCTAACTTCATCCTCTCAATGCCTTTCTCAGTGTAGAATGAGGAGGCCAGAACCACAAAGCAGTTTCCCTCGATGGCATGTGTAGTTGAAAGATTGTGAGCACCTGCTCCGGTTTTCTAGTTAGTCTACTGCCTTCTCAAAAGTCCAAGTGTATGTATTAAAGAAAGATACGAATGAAGAGTACGACGGAAAACGCAGTAATAGGGAAGAGAAGACTAACCTTCACGGCATTGCGACCACAACGCGCTACCAGCGGGGAACGAGCTATAGTAATTCATAGGCGGCCACGCCGCCACATGGATCTGCTCGCCCTGAGAATAGGTATGGTAGCGGAGCAAAGGCTGCGAGTGTTCCCAGCAGGACAAGGCGCCGACGCGTCCGACGTCAGGCTCGTCGACGACATTCATCAGAGAGTCACCGCTACCTTCACCGTAGATCGTGCGCTCGACGTGGGTTGGCTTAATTTTGCGGCGATGCATCCTGATACTTCCGTCCTTGCCGATGATTGACTGTGACAGGTAAAGCGAGTCATCATCATTCTCGGAATATCCCAGGCAGACAGCAATATTGTTGGCGGCGGCACACTCCTGGATGGTACGCATCTCGGGTGAATCCCGCTTGAGGCTGTGCTTCATATACTCAGAGACCATTTCGAAGTCGATGGGTCGCTGCCTGTGTCGATCAAGGAACCAGAAGAAATTGTTAGCCGCAAGATCGTTAATGATTGCACAATAGGGGGGCAATAGAGACGTAAAGAGCCCTAGCATATAAGTATATTCTGGGAAGCCCATGTTTATCTTACCAGATCCAGCCTGGATATTGGGGGATCCAGACTTCCGGGAAGGCGACCAAGTCACACCCTTTCCCAGCTGCTTCGACTATTAGATCGCAGGTCTTCTGCACGGCAGCGGGCAGGTCGAAGTAGCATCCTTCGGCCTGTACGGCAGCAACACGCACAGTTCCAGGTTTGGGTTTGGCAGCCATTGGGGAGGGGTTTTGCTCGGTGGAAGCCATCATCAATCTTCTGCTCGGCAACGTTTGCTTTCTTGTCTACACCGTCAGTGTAGGGCACAGAGGGATGACCTACATATAAATATTGAGTAGGGCGCCGGTCCCTATCGCGCTATCATAGATTAAGAACGGCTTGGTGCTGGTGAGTTGGGGTCTCCAACTTTCTTAGTAATTGATCCTATTTTTTCCTATCTCAACCTTGAGGATAATTGATCGTCATTTGAGTGGTGCTACGCCTGGGTGTTTGCCGTTTCTAAAAGTTCTGTTTCTATTCATCTAATGGTGTTCAGCGCAAGCCCATTTTCATTTGCTTATCAATCACTTTGTTGGAGGCTCCAATGTAGGTTTGGATTTGGTGTCTAGCCAGGGCTGTGGGGATACAGACTTAAGCTTAACCAAGCTTAACAACATGAAGAAATCTCTACTTTCAGAAACCCATGATCGAGTGACAATCCCTATCAAACTGTCATTTCCAACGCAGGAGTGGAAGGTTGATATATTAGGCCTGGCCATCTGCTATCGCTGTTGCATCTTGTTCTGACCTGAGCAGGGGGCAGCCACACAGATTGGGCATACTCAATTGTCATTGAGCTTAGAACAAAATTATTCCGCTTTTGATGCTTCATTACTAAAGGGATGATGCCATCGGCTTCGGAGGACGCTCCTCCCTCTCCAATTCACGTAACAGACGACTACTCTCTGTTTGGGGTCTCCAAGAACATTTTATTAAGCAATCCCCATTATCCAGAACGCACGATCATTGGGTAATTATGCTCATTATACAGTAATAGAAAAGAAAGTATGTGGATGTGCTATTGCAGATGTGTATCGCTACTTTTTCGAGCGGTAAAACAGCCAACACAGCAAAAAGAGTCAATTCAATAACTTTTGTCCAACATGGCCGCCCGCTCCTGGTGGCTGGCCCTAGCTAACATACATCTACGCATCCGTGGATTCGGTATGGCTTTGTTGTCTATCAATTTTTTTTGACTATTCACAACGTTGTCATTAATTAGATTACCTGGGCTAAAATCGACTAGAAAGACCATCTGGTCTGGTGGTATACATATGCCGAAACGAGTGTTTTCTCGATCGAGGAAATGGCGGTGCTATTCGACGGTAACGAGGCTACCCTTGTAGCCAAAGGGGAGAAGCCAGCAACAGAGTGCACGGACGCTGAGGCAGCAGCTTAGGAAAACTGATTACTGTCTTTCATTCTGTCTTCCTCACATCTGATTGAGTCGCGTCTGCCGACGGGACCTCTTCCGAGAAGCTGGGTTGATCAGCATTAATCTTTCCCTTTTGTCTCCCCGCCATCATTCGCTTATTTGATCGGCATGGCCATCCCCACTTTACCAACGTCAATGCTTTTCCTTGCTATAGTCTATTCTGCTTACCATCGCTATGGCCACCTGACGACTTACGCATGGTTATTTTGAAGGATATGTTGGCTCACGGGAATGCGGGAATGAAAGGGTTCAATCGGATCAATTTGTGTAGATTACAGTCGCAGAGGAATAGACAAAACAATGTTCCGTAATAGTATGCGGATAACTTCATTGGAACATGTCATCCCGCTGCGGGGTTTGTTACGAGCACGCAAGAATTGCTGCCTCTTGCGGAAGAGGCTTGGCCTTTTCTAGAGGCGTATAAACTTCCTTCTCAACTCCCTTTTTACCCTCTTGTTTCCATCTCACTGTTCGTAAGTCTACAGACCTCCAGCGAATTCTGGGAATTCCTAATATAGTGCATCGATTTTACCTAAGGTTAATGTACCCATCCTTGACGATGATGAGAAATAACGGGACTGATCAATGTGCTCTCAGCACGCATCATGCGCTCAGCCTGGCCTATCTCAGCCTCCATGATGCTGCTACCACTGGTAGCAGCTGACTGGCAATTCAAATCGCGCCCTGATCTGGCACCGCCCAAGCTGAATATTACCATTCCTGCAGCCGCGGATGTGGAGAAGGGGTACCTCTTCGTTGCTCCTTTTGCTGGTATTGCAGATGGCCCCGGAGAAATGCACGGCCCTCGCCAGGCTTCTCCTTACATCTTTCGGGATGATGGTGAGCTAGTCTGGTCCGGATACTCCTACTACTCCATCTGGGCAACCAACTTTCAGAAAGCCCGATGGACTGGCAAGGATGTCCTATTCTGCTTCGAGGGTGACCATAATCCGGCTTATGGACATGGTCACGGCCATGTCACCTTCCTGGACCAGCACTATGAGACCATCCGCGAGCTGCGTGCTGGTAACCATAAGATTATGGACAAGCATGAGTTCCACGTTATCAATGAGGAGACGGCTTTGATACAGATCTACCAACCCGTGCCAATGGACCTCACTCCCTGGGGAGCCAGCGCGGAGCAACAGTGGATCGTTGATGCCATCATCCAAGGTAAGAATGCCATTTTCATTATGGAATAAAACTAATCAGGGTAACAGAGCTTGATATTGCAACTGGTGATGTTCTATTTGAGTGGTCCAGCTTGGATCATGTCCTTCCCGACGGTTAGTCTTCTTCACCACACACGCCTGCAACTAACTAAACTCTCTCAGAGGCAATCCTCCCCATCAACCCTGGCCAAGCAGGCGCTGGCTACAACTCTTCAGATGCATGGGACTACTTCCACATCAACTCCGTGGACAAAGACTCTGACGGGAACTATCTCATCTCCGCCCGTGATGCCTGCGCCGTGCACAAAATCAACGGCATCACCGGCGAGATTATCTGGCGTCTGGGAGGTGTCAAGTCCGACTTCGAACTAGGCCCAAACGTCAACTTCTGCTTCCAACACCACGCTCGATTCGTTTCCAAAGACGGTGACTCCGAGATCATATCCCTGTATGACAACTCCGCCCACGGCACAGAGAACGGTCGCGGCCACGAAGTCCACACCCACCCATTCTCACAAGGAAAGATCATCAAAGTCAACACTGCCACCTGGAAAGCATCCATCGTCCAAGCCTTTCAGCCACCCGATGGCCTATTGTCAAAGTCTCAGGGAGGCACCCAGCTGCTACCTAATGGCAACGTCCTCGTAAACTGGGGCTCCGAGGGTGCATTGACTGAATTCCGCCCTGACGGCACTCCAATCCTACACGCCTACATGGACTCGGGCTTCCTGGGCGAAGGGGTCGAGAATTATCGTGCTTTCCGGTACAACTGGACCGGACTTCCTAATGAGACACCGGCTATCGTATCTCTTCAGAACGACCAGGGTACGACCCTCTATGTCTCGTGGAACGGTGACACTGAGACAAAGGTCTGGCGCTTTTATAGCGTGGTTGATGAGTACGGCTCGCGCGAGTTCTTGGGTGATGCGAAGAGGACTGGCTTTGAGACTGCCCTGTTACTTCCGGGCCGTGTCATTCACGCAGTGTCTGCGGAGGCTATTGATGCCAGGGGAAGGGTTTTGACAGCTACTGCTGCTGTGAGAACTAAGGCCGAGGTGCTACCCCCGAAGGCAGCTTCGGTCGGGATGCACGAGCATGGGGCAGTGCAGTCGCAAGTTCAAATGGGAGGTTCTAGCCACTGGGAGGAGTATATGATTCTGAAGTTGGATCGTTTCTCTCGGGGATGAGGATATGCAGTTCACTCTTTGAGGTTCTCCCTCGAAACTCAAACATCGTGTGGGCGGTGCCTGTTTGTTCAATCAATGGCACCTAGTGAAAACTGTTGTTAGTGATAGTGTTTAACGTGGATGGTTACTTTCTGATAGTAGCCTAAGAGTTAGCAATATAAGAAATTGGTGACGATGTGTCTCAGTGTAGTCCATAAACACTCCATATTGCCACCCTTATCAAATGCTACTGCCACTCTAATCCCAGCGCGACAATATCTTTCCATCCCAAGCCGCTTCTTACTCCTACATCTCCTGACTAAAATCATATTCATTCCCAAAGCCCCGATTCAAATACCGATTCAACGCCCGCTCCTCCGACACCCAATCGACCGGAACCTCCAACCTAGTCTCCCTCTCAACCACGGGCCTCAACTCCTCCGCAAGCTCCAATTTCATCTTATTCCGATACCACGGCGCGAAATGAACTACACAACAATCCTACTCAGCACCAGCCCACCACAACCAAGCCAAAACTTGAAGAAAAGAATTACTTACTCATAGCCAACATAACCCTCACATCCCCCGTCCAATTCCCCATGCCCGCATGCCAAAGCCTCAAATCCCGAATCACCAACGACCCCTTCGGCACAACAGGCTGACAGGGCATTCTCACAGCGCGACGCTTCTCCACCTCCTGAGCCTTGATCCGTCCACTAGCTCGATCCGCGCCATGCGCTCCCTCCTGCACATGCAGACCCGAGTCCACGTGCGTGCCGAGCCAGATCTCTGTGGATCCGTTTTCAGGAGTCATAGTAACCAAGGGGACGTTAATAACGTAGGCGAATGGATGCGATGGATGATCGAAATCCGCGTCCGTGTGTACGGGCTGCGATGTGGGGGGACAAGTACTGGTTGGCGGCATGGCGGTGTTACCTGAGCAGAAGGTCCATTTAGGACGGGGGCCTAAGGCTGTTGAGGTAATTTGAATGGCGAGAGGGTCTGTGGTGATTACTTTAGCAGGAGCGGGTGGGGATTGCTCGGGGAGAATATTCACGTACTCAGGAAGATATCTTTGTGGAAATATTCTCTTATCGGGGGTGGATCTTGTTGGATATTCCCTGGGTTGTAATTGTAAGGGCTATTCTCGTTTCTGGCTTGCAGGGTGTAGGCGTCTTGTATCATTTTTGTGTTTAGGTGGTCGAGGGGGTCGTGTGGAATGGCGTTTTCGATAATGACTAGGCCGTCGTGGAAGAGGGAGTGGATGGCGGTTTCGAGATTTTGTGGGGTGAGTTTGTTATTTTTTAGTTCGGTCTTCGATGGTCTTATGGTACATGGATAGGAAGATTGCTTGCGACGGTGGTGGTATTGCTTCAATGGGGTTTGTATTGTTGGGATGAGTCGTGGTGTCCGACGGGCGAGACCAGGCGGGAATCTGTACATGATGCCGAGTTTATATATATCGCGGGGGAGGCTTCAGCTATGCGTCTATGTAAAGTGACTCCGCCTGACAGATATCACCTTCTAGTAGAGCCCGGGTATGAGAAAAGCGTCTTGTTAGCTATGCTAACGACGGTAAGGTCGTGGGATAATCCCCGATTCGATGAAGAAGGGCAGTTCAGGTGGCTCTCTATATACAAGACAAAGGACGAGAGACGAGGCCGTAATTAGGAGGGCATATAGCGATGGATATATATGTAGAGGTAGAACTCTTGCCTAAGATAGAGACTCGGTAGTATAAATTGACGACTTTTTTTTTTGAAAGAAACATGATCAGGTTTGAGATGAGCGTGGATGTGCTCCCAGTCTGGGGAAGTTGATAGGTTACATTTGCATTTCCCCGCTTCTTTCTCCGCATCCCGAGGAACAGCAAGTGCTGGAATAGCGGCATTGCACGGACGGAAGCAAGTCACTTCTAAAATGATGACGCGTTAGTTCTCATAAAAAGCGTTGTATTCGGTTTTACCTATCAGATAACCCGGACTGAGTACTGATGCAGAAGTATTTGAGATGAGAGCAAACATTTTACCTTTATGTAACAAGACTCGTCGTACTCTACCAATAAGATGGGCTTGTGGTTTAGGGGTATGACGCTCCATTCGCATTGGAGAGGTCCCGGGTTCGATTCCCGGCGAGTCCACTTTTTGTTCTCGAGTTTTTTATGAGTATTGAGCTTACACTGCTTAAATAAGTACGTAAATAAAAGCCCAATTTAGCAATAAATCCTCGATGGTCTAACGGTCATGATTTCCGCTTGTCAATCCTAATTGGGAACAAGCGCGGGAGACCTGGGTTCGACTCCCAGTCGGGGAGATCTTTTTTGTTGCTCTATTTCTTCTCTCTCCTTCTGCTACCTACAAAGTCTTGCTCTCAACGAGCTCCTCCATTGCGAATACCATCCCAATCATCCAGAAATTTCACCGCCCAGGAAGAATATTGTAATAAATATCTTTTTTTTATTCCTTCCATTTCTTTGAAATCTGTGAATTACTGAGACCCCTTCAATATGAGACAAATAGCGTACAACATTTTCCGCTACTACCATAGTACAAAGAGCGATCAGAATTATCTAATAAAAAACTTACTTGATCAGGTTGTCTGTCATACCTGATTTTCGATCTATTTATGGGATCAACGCCCATTCCAGTAGCAAGAATATTGTCATAAGACAAAGGTGCTTCCTGTATAGCACACCGTGGGTGGCCGACCGAGCGGGAACTTAATATGTACTAATGCCACCTTGGAGTTGACTCGTCCGTTGAGCATCATTCTATACTATCACATACTCTGGCGTCAAACAGACCCAAACGAGCAGTGAATGCTCGAAAGCCCCTGTGAACTGAATACGAATAGTTTGCAGCTCCATGTAGCCCTAGAATGCGTGCTGTGCTGTGCTGTGTTTGTCTGAAACTAAACACCAACCAGCATGGTATCAAATTTCAATAAAGTCAATAACAATGAACACTTGAGGTTCGGAGCCACCGGTTGATCGAAACGGTTTAATAATTTTGCGGTGATTGCTTAATGATAGTCGACAAGGACCAGTGCATTGAAAATGTGGGCTTGGTGTTGTGCAGCGATTCGAATGCGCCCGTTGACTCCTACAGACCATGCTTATTCTATACAACAACTACAGTACAGGTTTCCATGAATCTGAAACTTCAATAGTATTACCAGTGTCAATCTGAATAGCGCACTTATGAGAAATACGAAAGAGGGAGGGAGGGGAGAGAGAGAGAGTGTGTGTGTAAAAGAAGGCCCGAAATAGATGAAATCCCCGAGACTTGAGACAAAGGAAATGCAAGTCACAAACTTTTTTTTTAAAAAGCAAAAACACAGCAGAAATGTGGGAATAATGGTATAATGGAATCAACAAATAAAAACAACAGCTTCAAAAGATAAAAGAGGCACATAGCGAATGAAAGTTGCCATGTCAGTTGACCTCGCTCCGAAAATGTTCACTTCCAAGAAGTTTCCTCGTGCCACACAATGCAGCAAAGCAATCACAGAGGGTCTTTGCGATCAGGGCCCTACTCTGTCAACGGAAACGATCGATTTCCACCTTACCAAAGTCGTGGCCATGGGAGGAAGTTGCCCTGACGTGGATCTTACTTCTTTCAAGAGTAAGGCGGAGCTTCACATCAATGGTGTCTCCACTTCTTGTACCTCCTGAACTTAATGCGGCGACGAAGTTGCAGAATACATGGCCAATGTTCCGGACATCTGGTTTTTGATTAGGGTTTATTTCATACGGGTCACAAAGATTGGGTCACAAAGATGAGAAAATGAAAGTTCTTCGAACCGTATATCGCATTGTTTTGTCCGCCCACAGGCCTCGGTACTGCATCGTAAATGTTGATAACTGCGAAAGGGAAATCTTGAAAGACCCGGCAGGTAAATGTGGCGGTTCGCAATTCGCCAATTGAGCACCGGTCCCCCTTGAGGAGAGAAACGTCACTATCAGAGCATGTTTGCATAGCTGGGTACTTTCATTGAACTCACCACTTTAATTGACCCAAGACACGGGATGACCCTGAGGCGCTCGAGGTTCTTGGTTATTGAGGTCCTTGGCACCAACTGGAGGGCCAGAGGACTCAACACCGTAATGACGGTCGAGCTGTTCAACCGAAAGAAGGTTCCTGTACGCCCAGCGAGCAGCGCCTTCAGCTACAGCAGTCTCTCTAACTCATGGATCACTGTTAGACAATGTCAGGTAAGAAGGTACGGGCAGACTTACGGCGTTTGGTGTCGGGTGACCGTTATCTGCGAGTTCGCGAAAAGCCTTTGAATGGCGTTATAAAGATAGACGGAGTGTGCCGCCGCGCCGGATACGTAAACGTGCTGTGTGTTTGTCAGTGCCTGAATCGATAAATGTGCGAAAATATGTCAGTGAGATAATCAGTACTCCATACCTTGATTACTGGGCGTCCAATCAAGTCATGTGCTCGATTAATCTGCGCTGTCAGAACATCGCAGATTGTCACTATGAGAGGATACTAAAGATCGAGCATATCGACACTGTTACTATTCGATTAGATTTATTCCCCACAAAAAGCCGACAGAGGAAAGGTAGGCGGGGAAGGGGGAGGGGGGAAGCAGCAGACTTTGTGAACTCGAACTTGCGAAAACCTGTCGATGTACGATATTGTATATCGCCAATTTCTTGACCGATGGTGCCTTCGAAGTCACGTTTGGCTGACTCAACATCGCTCATTAAACGACCAGTTGGGGAAAAGACCGAGCGACTCAACTTCTTCGACTTCAAATTTTCAGACGCGACAGCGTAATATTCCCGGTCTATCATAGTGCTACCCCCCAAAGGATCTACTCGACTTCAGGGTGTGTTCGTAAATGTGGCGATCCTGACGGGGAAGACCTACCTGTGTAGTTGCTTACAGTTCTGTAGTCCCCAATCTCTTTCTGGTAGATGACGTAGGTGCCAATATCCTGTATGTGGTAAGCCAGACTTCTAAAGGGTGATAGAGAGCTGGATATATCCTTACAAGCGTTCCACCTCCACAGTCACAGACAAGGACTCCGTCTCCCGCCTAATACTAATGTCAACATGCACAATACCTTCAAGATGTGGAAACAAAACAGCAGCGTAAGAGACACACCTGAATGGGAATCAACGGATCACATAACATTGTTGTCAGTGCTGATTCTGGCTCAGAGAGGACGAGAGTGTCGTCTCCAGCAATTCCGCGAAAACCTGCTGCCCGGGCGGCTTTCTTCATGGAGCTTATAGCTACTTCCGACCATGTCGCCGGTACAGTCAGAATGTATGCAAATGGCAATATCCCAAGGTCGTTGTCATTGCATTTTCTCTTAATGTGAGTCTCCCAATATTTCCTGAGGCGGTCCAAGAAGTCTCTAATGATACTGGTAGGGTCCCTGCCTCCAGGCCGGTGGAAAATTCCCACGGAATCTTTCCACTGCTTGTTGTCATCGGCGATGATCTTTTCCGTTACTTCAGGTTCTAAGAGGAGCTTAACCCAGGAAGAAGTTACATGATCTTCGGTAATCATGTATCCCCATGCCGCGTTTTGGAGGACTCGCTTCTTGAAACTGTAGGCGATGCGGGTCGGGACACGCGTCGAACGGGTCTGCGTTCCGGGCCAAGTGTCGATAAATCTCACATTCGTAGAGTCGGGATGAATCCATGCAACACCTGCTCCAACTGATCAATGTCTATGCCCGAGCCTTGCTCGACCAGCTTGGGGTTCCAAAAGTCTTACTCGTATGAGTAGTTCCGCAATCCACGGACACAGCGATCTTCCGAGTACATTCCATGGTCATTATGGCGTTATTCGGGGGACCAGTTTGGCTAAGATTATGTTGGTTTGGACACAAAGATATAGAGTAGATAGGAAACCAAAGAAAGCACAGTTTAGACAAGGGAAAAGTATTGAAAGTGGTTCTGGGGATGGACAGAGGCAGCCACGAACTAGGTAGATTGGACGTGAGTTATATTGCTTGTCCAAATCTGAGGAGATCTAGATCCAGCTGACGCCCTTCATGAGTGAGACAGAAGAGTAAGTGTAAATTTGCCCAAGCGAGTGGCATGCGCCCAAATGACGGGCCTGGACCTCTATGATTCTATCACCTGACAATTGAGAGGAAAGGCTGGGTGGATACGGTTGCCACCATTCCCCTTGACGATGGCTTTCAACCTTTCCCGCGATCCCAAAGTTCAAAGGCGAGACCCTTGCCCCTGGCCTTTTCTTTCGTCCTTTTGTATTGGTAGTTTCCATTATTTATTGCCTCATGCTTCGGGCAATACCGCCTGTCTTATGACTATCCAGGAACCGCATTGTAGAAGTCTTAAAAAGGCCAGCCGATGCTCAAAGAATCTGACTTATAACCATCGTATATAAACTCCGAGAGAATCTTAACCTTGTCACACAGTGTTTTCCCCGTGATTAGTATCAAAACTGTGCCATTTGGATAGACAGGCAACACCGTCTAGTGAGCAAAACTACAGTGGGCTTCAAGATGGGAAAAAGAAAGGCAAAGAACACTAGCGAACCTTCACAGGTAAGAAACGAGCGTCAATGCATCCTTCACTCATTCTCCTCCAACCGTCCAGGCTCTTCTGCACGTTGTGGATATTGGCTATCCCACAGTGGGCCTTGTGTTGCGGGGCTCTAATGCAGTCAGACCTTGCGGGACCACATGAACGAAGCTTGGTTCCATGAAAGATGCGGAGCTTCTGAAAAATGCTAATGAAGTTTGTGGACTCTATAGAAAAGGCGCTCTCCTAGGTTTTTAGAGAAACAAGAAGCGACCGAATTGAAGGGGAGGAAGCCCAGGGTCCATCAAAGTACCGAATCCAAGTCGGCTTTTGAGCCTAAGACACCACCTGAGGTCCAAAGATCGACAGAGGATAAGGTTAACACCAGCTCTGCTTCGGAACCTCCAGCGTCACCAGAAATCCAGACATCAATGAAAGCAAAAATCGACGCTAGCTCAGCTTCTGAATCTACAGTGTCAGCAAATGTTAAAGAACCTACAGAGGTTCAACAGCATGAGGTGCCTGTTGATGAACACGGGTTACCAGAGTTACCAGAAGAAAGACGCCCAGGTAAATCCATTGTTTGGACACGCCCGAGGTCTTTGAGCTATAGGGGTGAATGGAATGAAGGCTGTACAAAGAACCTGTTCCACGACTTCAGCCGGCGTGTCTCAACTTGGGTAGATAAATACTGCTACAGGAGAGCAAAGCTCAGGGATAGGTTGTCTGCCGGCGATTTACAGATAATTCTGGACAGCCTTGGGAACTTTTGCCTGGACAAAGATTGGAAGTCGATTGAGGCGAGACTTGACGAGCTTGGCTATAATAACTTCTGTTATTTTCTTCCAGGCACGGTGTTAATGAAGCACCTCTTTGAAGATGTTATCAGTAATCCATTTGTCTACGTTGAGGGCAGTCAGGAGGACACAGGTAGCCAGTCAAGCATGGATCCACCAGCCTTTGGGAAGCAATTGTGGGGACTTTGGAAGAGGCTAATCAAAGGTATGTCTGCAAATCATTTAGCTTGTTCTGGGGGGTGTACAAGTATCTGGTAGACTAAATTTATTATCCATACCGCAGTTGACCCGATCAGAGCATCTGACTGGCGGAGAACGACAACCCAGCTCCTAAATCAGGTCCATCCCGAACATACGAGGGACTACAGGGTTGCACATCAAACCGGCAAGGCCCAGGAGCTGCTCGCAAATCGACTTGCGACCAGTATGCTCAAGGAGTGTCAAGCCTTGCAGGTAGTATTGAAGAAAATCACCGACTCGAATCAAGTTACAAACCGATACAAAGGGCTTGTCGAAATTTATCGGTCCGCAATTGACATATCTATTTATCTGGGAACAATTGAAACCGAATTGGAGTTCGAACTTGATGTCAGGCGGTGTGGGCCCTAATTGCATCGCAAAACGAGAGTCCGAAAACGAGGGTGTTCCGATGAAATCCAACCTGACGAATGGCCTGTTCCAATACTACTGCACTTTCCTCTTGTCTCAAGTCGCCACTTGATAACTTCAGACGTTATGGATACGTTGCAGCAACGCCGAGAAGATTTCGAATACGACCACAGGGACGACGGGGAAGAAGAATTACGAAAGCAACTGGACAAAGAGATCCCCCAGGTTGAGGAGGGCGATACCATTCTTGTTTCAGCGATCTCTTTCGCCGATATTGTTTACTCCAAAGATGGACCTCAGGCCTGCTCATGCGGTGGTCGCTTTGTCTGTCAGGGCGGATGTATAGCCGACATTGATAGTGATGATGTTGATGATGATGGGAGCGATTCAAACTCCAAAGTGGACGATTGAACCAAGGACCAAACTCTGTTCCTTGACACTTCTATCTAGATTGCATATTTTACCTTACCTTTTTTGTTTTTCTTCTCTTCATTTTGTTCCTTCGGTTCTCCCTGTTTCCCCCCCCCCCCCCTCCCTCCTCTTTCCTCTGCTTATCACTGCAATATTGTCGTCTGAAAATTGCCATACTACGCATATATTACAACATGTTACCTAACTTTACTTTCTAAGTTCACTAAATGTACGACAATTTCATCGGTCGGTCTAGTTAGGAGTGGAAAGAGAGTGCTTCTTCTAAGATCATCCAGGAGCCCTCGTTCCCCTCTCTTTAGTGGCCTTTTTACAATCTTCCTTCGTATAACCTTGTTTAATTGTTCAAGCATCAATCAGCTATTTATAGTTTGGCTGCGTTTTGCTATATTGTTTCTTCCTTTCATCTGTTATTGAGCCGGCTCATATGTTGCCTGTTCGGAAAGCCATACCCGACCGTGTGATCCTCTGCTACTATTCCCATCATTGGTAGAGTTTCGAGCGTAGCTCAGAGACAAAGTACGAACTTCATTTTTGGATAGATGAGATTACGAATATGGGAGTTGGCCTATCCGACGGCAAACTCGGTTATGTAAAGTTAAATACCGTCCATGACGATGCAACATTAGGGAAAGTAGAGGGAGAAAGAAAAAGGGGAAAAAGAAAAGAAAAACAACCGCATGAAAACCGTCATCATCAGTCCGACCGTAGCACCCGCTTGAATGTCTCCAGTGTATGATCCCAAACCTTACCAGGGAAACTCCGGGCTCGATAATCAGCCATCAGTTTCTCGCGAGTTGCATTGCTCCCATCGTATTTGAGGATATAGGAGCCCCCTCCAATTTTACCAGTTGATGCAGATGCCGTGTCCATCCCTTTGACTAAGGGAACCCCTAGATGTGATGGATCTTTGGGCGTGGCGGGAGGATAAGCTGCCGACGTCGAGAGAAACAGATTACGCTCACCACTCTCCTCCGGCGTGATGGAAATTGGACGAGAAAGAAAGCTTAGGATAGCCCCACCAAAGTTCCCGAAGGTGGCGTTCATCAACGGAGTCCGTACAATTCCCGGGAAGACGTGTAGAAAGCTTACGGTCGGATGGGCGGTGGCTAGATGCTCTATTGCTAAGGAGTTTAACGTGGCGGCGTATGTGTTTGATTTTGTAAAGCTCCATGACTTTGTCAGGTCGAAATTGTCTTCTTCGATGGTGCCTTCTTGGCCGCCTGCTAAAATGGATACGACCCTGGCTGGACCGGGGGAGGCACTGAGCAAAGGCATAAGGTTCTGCACGAAGCGCATCCGGGAGTAGTAACGAAGGGCATGGTTGTCGTCTAGTCCTTCATCGGTTTCTGTGTGTGGGCCCCCGCTGTCAGCCACTAGTAGGGTATAGGGGTGTTGGGGTTGACGGGGTAGCGTTTGTAGCCGTCCCGACTGACCAGGATAAGGTTGTTTCTGCTACTTACCATTTTTTGAAAGAGAGAGGTGGCCGGTGGACATGAAGAGGAGATCAATTTCCTTTTCCTTGTCGGCGATTTCCGCACAGGCCTTGTCAACACTACGCAGAAGTGAGACATCCGATTGAATAAAGTGAAATGATCCGTTTGGATTTGAAGCCCGGAGCTCCTCTAGGACTCTGGAACCGGATGCGGGATTCCGGCCAACCAAGTGGATAGTTGGTTGTTTCACAGCGAGCGCCATCTGCTTAGCTGTCGCTTCTCCTATGCCACTGGTGCCTCCAACGAAGACGGCGACCATCTTTTGGCGTTGAGCGCCCAGGGCCGTGTTGGACTGACGAACCTGACTAAGAGTGGGCATGATGGATGGTTGGGAAGAGTAGTATAATACTATGGTTAACAACTGGGAACAAGGGAAGATACTTCTTCTCACTACGCTTTATAACTGCCTGGCAGCTTGGTGCTGATAATGAGATGTAGTTAGTTTGGGAGTTGTGCTGACGCATGACGCGCACCTGACTCACTCGGGTCGGGTACCCTTCCCTATTGGGACTGCTTACGCTGACGTCAAGCAAAAGGGTTAATCAATTAGCTAGATGCTTACCTCGTTATGGTGGCTGCGATCCGGGCAAAATCGGGTGGAAGAGAACACCTGCTTTGACCTATCATCCTGAAGATGCCATTGAACTCTAGGGGACGGGAACGGCGTCTCACATTCGAGCAGACATCGATTGAGGCTGTTTGCGGGTTACGGTACCAGGACAAACGGATCCCAACCAAAGTCGAAATTATTCACGGATCATAATAAACAACTCCAGATAAGGACAACTGACACTAAGGGCAGCAAATGGGAACTAGCGGTCGTAATATTCTCCGTGCAGGTGGTACTCTCTAGCGATCTTCAGGCAAGATCCACATCCCGTCCGCGCGGATGCACCGGGATCAGGCATCCCGATCATGATTAGGTTCTGTCAGGGGTACTCCATAGTGGAGCAATGTCGGCAATCGCCCATGAGCTCGTGACAGCTATAGGCATAGATCATGAGGGAGGTATCTGCTGAACTGGCAGCAGCAATGACTTTTCCAATTAGCCTTGGAGGCGTCTTACAGTTCACCGACTATGCGTACCAGTACTGCTGATCTTTGGAGTTTTCATCGGCTGGAGCATTTGGCATCCAACGTAATCGAAAAGGGGTTATAATCGGGTCGGTTCGGACCCAACCTAGCCCATCTACTCGTGTTGCCGCAAGGCTATCATGGTCCTTCGTGAGCAATCATCGCGCGTCGTCCGGATGTCGACACGGCTTGTTTTCCAGGTTGGGAAGTTCGTCGACAGGTCTAGCAGCCAGATGTAGAGTCGAGCACGTATAGGTTTGCTCGTTAGATAATACTAAATTGGTGTCTTGAGACCCTGAGCAGTCTTCCCAAGCCTCATTGACCACGAGCTGGATAATTTTGATGTAGCGAAGTTCGCCCGTATGTGATATTGTATAACGCACTTTATGTAATTGAATCTTTTCGATTACGGGGAGGAAACCACCTGACTCATACTCTTTCTAGTACGGTGCAATCTTGCAGAGAGTGAGAAGTGTCTTCAACTTCCAAGTACGGTTAGATTGATATTCCCCAGGGCTCATTTCCCAGCAGTGTTGAATCTACCTACCGATCGGACCCGGTGTTTATCGTTCATCGGTCGGCATGTCATCCGGCACACACCTCGACAAGTAGCATAGTCCGCGCCTCGGCTCATCGACGTTTATACTCCCCTACCACGACCGTAATGCATCCAATCAGGCCTCGATAAGTTCATTGACGAGCAGGATGCAAATGCCCTCCATTTCGCATTGCGTGCGACCTCACGGTGGAAAGCGACTCATACCCGATCTCCCATACCAACACTCTTCATCTGCTGCATACCGAGAGCACTCCTCAGCGCTCACTGATCCCATCGCGATGACACCGTCTTTGTTGTTGTAAAGAATGGCCAATATGTCTTTCCAGGGGAATGCCGGTCTGGACAGGTTAGAGTTTCTCCCATCAGCAATGCCTGGATACTCACCACCCAGAAAAGAATCTTTGTTGCTCGTTCGGACTGCGGTTCCATATGGCGCTGTTGTACTGTCAGGGGGTGGTTGCGCCACGGAACTAGGGACAGCCATACCGATCAACGGGATGTTGACACCAATTTGTCCAACATTGACACAGCGTTGGAACGTATTTGCATGTTTTCCACTGGTGGTAAATATGGAGCATCCGTTACCATCTATGATCGGATCAGCAATCCATGTCCCCCAGACACGGAATGATCAGAGACTGACACTTGTTTTGATTAATCAGATCGATTGCTTCCTCGAGAGTGTCCACCTCCATACAGATGAGTACCGGTCCAAATATCTCCGCCTGATAACATTCCATGTACGTCTGCACGTCCCCGAGTATGGTTGGGCCCATAAAGTTGCCATCCGGATAGCCAGGGACCTCAATATCCCGACCGTCTAGAAGAACCGTTGCTCTCTCCTCAACTGCTCGCTGGATCATTTCACTAACTTTTTCTTTCGCTGTTTTGTCGATCAAGGGCCCGATCTTAGACTCCTGATCCCCTCCACATCCTACCACCATCGACTGTGCCAGTTCGACCAGCCTAGGAACCCAGTCTCTCGTCGCACCAACAAACACTGCTACGCTCAAGGCCATACATCGCTGTCCCGCAGCTCCAAAGGCACTTCCAGCGATCGCAAACAGCGTCGAGGACATATTGGCATCCTCTAGGACAACCCCATGGTTCTTGCCACCACACTCTGCTTGTATTCGCTTCCCTGCAGCCCTTGCCAAGTCATGGACCTGCCTAGCAGCGGACTCGGACCCGACGAAACTCACCGCTTGAACCGTTGGTTGAGTCACAAGCATCTGAACGGTCGATGGGCCGCCGTGAAGCACATTGAAGACTCCAGGTGGGAAGCCAGTCTTTACGATCGCCTGTGCTAGCAATGAAGACGTAGTAGGTGTTTTCTCAGAGGGCTTCAGGATAACTGTATTGCCGGTGATGAGCGCGTACGGAAGCGACCACAAGGGAATCATGAAAGGGAAGCTGAAAGGGGTGATTGACACACAGACTCCCTGTAGAAATCTGTCAGTAGCTTGTCCGTATCTTACTAGTACCAACATACAACTGGCTCGTAGAACGTTTGTAGCAACGTTGCATCGCCTCCTAAGAACATGCCGGCCATTTCAGGCCCAATCGAGCATGCGGCATGTATGCAGTCCAGACCGCGAAAGACTTCTGCGTCTGCATCGGCTAGGGTCTTTCCAACCTCCCGAGATAAACAGGTAACCTGTGATTGTTAGTTCAACCCCTTTGCCAGTCAGCTGTTACGGCTGCTTGCTCACAATTTCAGGAGACATCTGTCTTAGTACATCCACCAGTCTCAACAGATGTTCACGCCTCACTTGGAACCCCAAAGCAGCCCAACCAGGCTGGGCATCTTCAGCAGCCCCAACAGCCCGCTGTACTTCTTGGAGAGTACTCCC